TAATTTGGCAATGAACAACATTCAACAAACCACAGAGTAAACTATGCATTTTATTGTTATCTAAATGATTGGAAATTCAACCAGAATGTTCATTGTGTGGTTCTGAATCAGTGCCTCACCTATTTTAGACACACCAATTCAGTCTCATATTGGACTGAGATCTCATGACTCATTATTACTAGTTTCAATAACCTAATATCATCATAGAGGAAATGGTCCTGTTGTTATTTTATAGCACTGGTTCTGTCCCTTTGGACTGCTGTTTAAATCATGTGCTTGTTGTGAAAATATCATATCTCCAAATCTAGAGAGACTTTAGCTGAATCCCTGTTTACATTACAAAGAGAGACAGAAAAACAAGATCATGGTATCCATTACAAATAGAGAAATATTTCCTCTATTCATAATGTACCCCATAATCTTGTAATGTTTTTGTTGTTGTTTAGTTGTAATACAGACAGACTTGTGATTAGCTTTTTCTGTAACACTTTGTTCATGTTACTTATTATAATGTTGCAAATTCTGGTATTTGCTACATATTTTAAAATCATTAAAAACTCTATTATGTATTTCATATCACTCTCGTTTCATTTAAACACAAATAGCGCCATCGCGCGTCTTAGTTATGTACTGTAGTGAAAATGACCTAAGATGACTTCATTATTAAAAATACTGTAATATTCTGTAATATCAGAACACAGTGTTCGACTGTTATTAGGTCAACTGTTTTGTTAACTGAAATTGTCTTTATATAGTGGGAGCTTTAAGATAATATGCATATATAATATTTTCAACCCAAATTGATTTCATTTTCATTTATATTTTTTTCTGATTAGTAGCCATGTGACAATCATGATAATGTACAGACTGCAGTTCACTACCGCAAAGCGTTTCTGAGGTAACTTAATGGAAATTCTGTTATAAGAAGTTACGTTACCAAAATGCAAAGACATAACTACAGACTTTAGCTTATTATTTAGCCGCCTTACCTTTATGAATCTGTCCACGCTGGTGTCCTCAGACATGACGCTGACTGTGGCACTCACTGATCTTCACTCTCTGGCTTCAGCAGGCTCGTACAGGTGCGATCTTACCTAAATCTTGGCGTGGGACGAGGTCTAAGCGCTAAGATGCCTTCTTATGTACAATTTCCATGCTGTCCGATGAACTTTGGAACAGCGCCTTTCCTTGTTGAATGCGTAACTGGCATTTAATGCAACACACTGTCAAACTCCACAAGACAGTAGGAAAGCAATAAAGACGCGAGTTTCTGAGGCTATACGTACTCGGCTAACATCTTACGCATGCATTTCACAGGCAAAAGTAGCGCAGACTAGCCCTGGTTTACGCGGTGCGATCTTACCTAAATCTTGGCGTGGGACGAGGTCTAAGCGCTAAGATGCCTTCTTATGTACAATTTCCATGCTGTCCGATGAACTTTGGAACAGCGCCTTTCCTTGTTGAATGCGTAACTGGCATTTAATGCAACACACTGTCAAACTCCACAAGACAGTAGGAAAGCAATAAAGACGCGAGTTTCTGAGGCTATACGTGCTCGGCTAACATCTTACGCAATGCATTTCACAGGCAAAAGTAGCTCAGACTAGCCCTGGTTTACGTTACTGTTCCTCCAGCCACTATTTGCTAACTGCGCTACGCTGTTCTTGACAAGAGAGTAACAAAACCGACAATAAAAGCGGTAATTCCTGGTCGGCTGCCCGTTATCAGCAGCAGCAGCCGTTACGTTAGCTCTGAAGCTCGCGTTCACAGCAGATGCTAATTCTCGCGCTCATCGCATTACATGCGCGCACGACCTCTTTGATTCTACGATTTTCGCTCGCCTATCCAGCGTTAAGCGATTAACAGTGTTTTGAAAAGCACCATAGAAACCAAATACTATCCTGGGTTTGTTTGCTAAGGTGCTAGCGCTACATTTGATCCGAATCTGGGGAAGATTGTTCTTCTTTATTATACGCCACATTCTGCGAGCAGCGACGCGGGCGCATTCCGCCACCTAATGCAGAGGAGCTCAGTCAGGCCGACCCTCACTGAAAATAATGTGGGGTTTGTGTCTCGTCTTGAGTTGTTTCGTATTTAAAGGCGATTCATATGATTTTCTGTTAGAAATGTAATAATTATAATCCGAGCGGTCGCCTTGTGTCGTGTCTTCGCCATAGTAGTATGAGGTTAGAATTGTTTCATATTTTCAGATGCACAGATTTTGATCCACAAATAAATGCAGAGATTCACAAAGACATTACACACGGAAATAACTTTTACTGTACCTTCTTATCACACTGCAAAAAAAGTGATGTTCTTCATCAGTATTTTTGTCTATTCAAATGTCTAAAGATTCTTTAATCAACATACATTTACTTTAGCAAAATGAAACAATGTAAGTCTTGTTTTATGAGAAACACATCAAAATTAAGTAAATTTATGACTTAAACATAAACAAGTATCTGCCAATGGGCTCAGAAAAATCAACCTAATTCAAAGGGAAAACACATTTTCATACCCACTGACAGATACTGTTTCTTTTATTTTGTGACTTCATTCCTTCATTTTCAAGTACATATATGTTGATTTAAAGGGATACTCCACCCCAAAATGAACATTTTGTCATTAATCACTTACCTCCATGCCGTTCCAAACCCATAAAAGCTTCGTTCGTCTTCGGAACACAATTTAAGATATTTTGGATGAAAACCGGGAGGCTTGTGACTGTCCCATTGACTGCCAAGTAAATTGCACTGTCAAGGTCCAGAAAAGTATGAAAGACATCGTCAGAATAGTCCATCTGCCATCAGTGGTTCAATCTGAATTTTATGAAGCGACGAGAATACTTTTTGTACTTCGAAGAAAACAAAAATAACGACTTTATTCATCAATTAGTCTCCTCTGTGTCTCTCCGCATCACCGTAGCGCCATTTTGGAGAATATCCACTGAACGCAAGCAGCATATGCTATTCTGTCAGCCGCGACACAAGGATACGTTTTCTACGTGTATTTACGCTTTGATTTGAACGAAAACAGCGTATCCGTGTGGCGCGGCTGACACAGAAGAGCGTACGCTGCTTGCGTTTAGTGGATACTCTCCCAAATGGAGAGAACACGGAGGAGACAAATTGTTGAATAAAGTCGTTATTTTTATTTATTTATTTAGTCATTTAGCAGACGCTTTTATCCAAAGCGACTTACAAATGAGGACAACAGAAGCAATGAATTGTAGTATTAAAACAACTAAAAACAGATCCAAAACTAAAAGCTAAAACTTTATAAATACTACTTAAAGCGCAGACACTGACAAGATACGCGATACAGAACGAGACCAAACGCGATATCAGCACGTCTCCACACAGTAAACAAAACAAGCGTTTCCTAGCAACGACAACTGCACTAAACACTAATGAGACAAGTAAATACACTTATGAGCTGCTTTTAACTTCCGCTGATAAAGACTGCTTCTCTCAAAGAGTATTTCTCTTTTTTATTTTTGTTTTCTTCACGTACAAAAAGTATTCTCATCGCTTCATAAAATTCAGATTGAACCACTGATGGCAGATGGACTATTCTGACGATGTCTTTCATACTTTTCTGGACCTTGACAGTGTTATTTACTTGGCAGTCAATGGGACAGTCACAAGCCTCCCAGTTTTCATCCAAAATATCTTAAATTGTGTTCCGAAGATGAACGAAGCTTTTACGGGTTTGGATATTATCATTGGCCACATATAAAAATTTTTACTTTTTGGTAAGAGATAACAGAGTAGTATGTTATTGGTGATGAAGGAAAGAAGCCAAACACTGTGTAGAATATTTAAAAAGTAAATGAAATATAAAACATGAATAAATGTGTAAACACTGTAAAATGTAACAGAATTAGTACTTTTTATGTTAACTACTTTTTTTTCATTTTCTCTTTTACCTTCTATCCCTGCTTATCCACTACAGAGTCGACCTAGAATATTTACATATTTACTGTCACAAATAGGCTGATATATATGGTTTACAAACACATTGTTAGCCACTTTAGAAATATAAAACAGAAAAACTGTGTAGCGAATCAGCTCATGGGGAAATATGAATAATTAATCATAACTAGTTATAATTAATTATAAATATTTGGATCCGCTGTAAGTATTTACTTGACCTCTCAGGGTCAACTATCTGTCAATTCTAAGAACGTTAAAGGCCGGTATCCCAAGTGGGAGTATTGAGATACTGGGGAGTTTTATGACCCTTTGTGTGAAAGCATGGTAATTTGCATATGGAACTTGAATCAAAATTACTAGAGATTCTCAGAACACTAATATATTGCCTATGTACCAACATATAATATACACGCTCGTTTAGATCATCAGAAGGCGAATTCATAGATACTAAACATGGTAGGATTACATATAGGTAAGATGACAGAAACGAGTGGTTCCATCACAAGCCTGCATAAACAGTATACAATTTAAAAGACAACATACACAATGACCTGAAGGATATGTGTGTTCATTCAAAGAAAGGTTTTCCTATGAATTAATTAGAGAAGAGTCCATTTTTACTGTGCATTGTGTCTCTTCCTATGGAAAGTGTACTGATTTTCTGTAGTCACATTCCTTTGGGCAATAAAACCAGTGATATCATGGTTGCCATGGTGAAACGGGGCCATGAGGTGTTAAGACGCATTTCGGGGGAAGGGTCCATAGGTCCTCATACGGCTTGTTAACTGAGGGGTGTTACAGAGTATTTGTTAAATATAGCTAACAAAATATATATTGTGTGTTTGATTGGTCCAGACGCTACAACTGAGAAATATGCACATGCACTATAACAATCAATATACAAAATTATTTTTCAAGTGGGCAATCATATCAAACAAATATGTTTGATCCATTTATTTTTGTCTGTATATTATTACAAAAAGGTTTAATCAGAAAAGGACAAATATTTATGCAAAGTGAGAAGAAATGAATGAATGAATAAAAACGAATAAATGAACAAATGAATAAAACCAAAAATCTGAAGCATTTATTTCACAAATCAGCACAAGCATGCAAATAATTGTAGTGATTATGCTGTCTATATAATGCTTGAATTAAACAGAATGAAGTCAGCCCAATACACATTTTCCCTCCTTTTGTCTGGTGGATAATCAAGCAATATCTTTTGTAAAATCAACTATACAGTACGTGACTAACTAATCATCACTGCCAAAACAAAATTGATACTAAACGCTTATTATTTTTCAGTAGAAATCAACACATTAATTATGCTAATGCATGAGAATCATAGTAATCATAGTACATTTTAATAATGGCTGGCATGGCTCTTATAATTAGGAAATGGCTTCCTTAAATGAATTCATCCATTTACGAATTTTTCTGAGGGACCTTAATTGTAACCTGTGGAGGAAAAGATTTAGTAAATGATAAATGACAGAATTAATGAGCTGCAATATGGAGATTGCTGATTAAAAATACATCTAAAACACTTCATAAACAAACAATGAATAAATAAATAAATATATTAAAACTAGCTTAATCTACTTGGCATCTTTTAATTTGAAATAAGCAACTTTAAAGTAACCAATCACTGTGGGAAATCAATTTGGGCAAATGGAGATTATAAGACACATACAAGTGTAACATTTATAGTTTACAATAAAAGAGTGAATTATGAATAATGAGTGCACTTTTATATATCTGATAGCAAAAGCTTACCGTTTTGACCTCTGTGTAGTTGTCCAGTCCGTACTCTCCTAACTCACGACCAATTCCTGAGGCCTTGTATCCTCCAAATGGAGCCTGAACTCCGAACACGTCATAACAGTTAATCCTAAGAAAAGAAAATGACAAGTACAAACCAGATTTCAGAAAACAGCAAAGGTGTCTGATATACCAATATCCAAGATATGCAATTCCCTTAAAATAATGAAGCACATCACATGCTCACCACACAGTGCCAGCGCGCAGGCCGTGGGATATGTAATGGGCCTTATCAATGTTTTTGGTAAAAACAGCAGCTGCAAGGCCGTATTTGCTGTCATTGGCTCTCTCAATCACTTCCTCTAAAGATTTAAACTTCAGAATTTGCATCACGGGTCCAAAGATCTGATAGTAATAAAAAGGAATAGCATGTTATATCATTTTACTGGAAGAAAATCTTACAGCAAAATGGAATGAGTAGATCGAATCTAAATAGAAATGCATCTATTCACCTCCGTGTGTACATAATGGCATAAATTGTGCCATATTATTATTATATTATGGCAAGTTAAAATGTGTATGTAAAATGGCAGATATACAGTAGTTCCTTTGAGGTAAATCTGAAAGAAAAGACTAAAAATATTCATATTATTATGGTTATATTGTGATTTGTGGTGAGATGTGATTGGTGATCTTCCCTACATATCTGGTTAAGTGATGCTATGTCTGAATTTGTGTAACGTCAAGTTTGTACTGCAGTTGATGAAGTGTGTATGTATGTGTGTAATATTAATACAATCTGCAAAAAAAAAAAAAAATTCTTTGCATAGCAATCCATTAAATTCCTCTTCCTGTTATCAAAATTCATTATCATATTTGACGTTAAGTGAATAAAAGCCTAAATCAAATCTGTTAATCAAAGTTATCACATCTTCAGAAGACTTGGACTGAATTGCTTGATTCATATAGATTATGTTTACAATGTCTTTATGAAATTTTCAAAAGATGGACAGAAATAAGAGAAAACACATCTCTTATTTGTGTTCTGAAGATGAGCGAAACTTATATAGATTTGGAAGCAGGGTTATTATAGTTTACTAAAACTAAAACCCTAAAAATATATATTTTTGACTTTAGGGGGTCTGTTAAAACTCAATGGGCTCAGGGGAGGCGAGAAAGACGTGGACTCCCGCTGTAACATTACCTGCTGGTGTTGCTGTTGGACAATGTTTTTTTAGAAAACTGCACGCGCGCACACACACACACACACACACACACACACACACACCATAAACAGAAGACAGTTAGGTTGGTTAATGTAGAGACAGATTAATTGGCCACATTTTTTTTCTGTTTTTTTGCATCTTTATGTTGTTGAGAGTCTGTGAATTCATTGCCCAGAGAAAATGTGACAAGCCGTTGGCAACAGATCTGCAGTTTCTGCTATCCAAATTAGCTTTAAACACAAAAAAAAAAACATCACAAGTGCTCACAAAATAATTTCTGTGACCTATTTTGTGCATTTCCGACAACTTTCAGCACTTCTAAAAAAATTTGAAATTGGTGGACAATACAGTACTCTATATACAAGCAATGCAATGCGTCATGAATAAATTATGCAGATACTTTTATTATTAATAATTATTTCACTGTATGTGTTTATACTGATGCTTGGTGATTGAAGTTATTTTTCAGTTATTTGGTGATGGAAAGCTATATTTGTGGTTGTCACCATCAGTGTGGTTTGTGTGTTGAAGGATGAGGTCCTTGCGTGTTTGTTTGTAAACTGTGTCGCCAGTGTGCTGACTGCATTTTGACAATGGCGAACAAAGAATGTTTATTCAGCAGTTACATGTATATCTCCCCTCGGGCCACCTGTATAGCCTGTGGCACAGGCCAGCACTGCCTTTAAGCTCAAAGAAGTTTGCGTCATTAAGTCTTTAAAAACAGAGCGTTTTATCTAGATAGATAAGAGACAGGGTGGAAATGGTTATGTACTATTAAATAATAACATCTGTAAAAACTTTACTAAAATTATACATTATAGGTGGACCTCAAGGAAAATAATAAAATATCATGACCCGTTTAATTTGCCACAGAAATATAAAACACCAATAGTCTAATAAAATGCAGCAGGGGTCAGGATAAATATGAACTCACTATTAGCATCTGATAGAACGATGTTTGGACTCTTTCCTCCCAGCTCCAGTGTGACCTTCTTCAGATTACTGGTACTTGAGGCTTTCATGATGAGGTGGCCCACCTATAAAACGACAGTAAGACACTCCAGTAAACAAAACAAATTTACTGTAAATTGCAAATATAATATAAAAGCCTAGGTATGCTGACCTACCAAATACTCAATACCATCTTTGCTACCACAGCAATATTCAGTAGCAGCTAATATGCTAATGAGCACACTTGTTTATTTCATTATTAAAGTTAAGCATTACAAATAGGTCTGGTTTCATATACAGGGCTTAGATTAAGCCATGATTATTCCATACTTCAATCAGGACATTTAAGTAGCTTTTATAAATGTGCCTGAGGATTTAAAAAAAAAAAAATTTAAATTAAATTTTAAGTTTTATTTTGAAATGAAAATGATTAGATTCTTAGCATTCAAATAGCTCAATACGAATAAATTGGCGGTGCCGATAGCCTTGTGTTTAGTTCGTCGACATATAGCGCAACTGTGCTCATGGCGACCTGAGTTCGATTCCTGCCTCGAAGTCCTTTGCCGATCCTGCTCCCCTCTCTCCACCCAATGCTTTCCTGTCAGCTCTCCACGGTCCTCTCACATTAAAGGCATAAAAACCCCATAAATATAACTTAAAAAAAAAAAAAATGTTTAGGCTGCATTTACACCATACAGACCCAAGATTTTTTAAACAAATCAGATTTTTCCCACCTGCTGACATTTATTATTTATCAAGTCATAACTGACATTAAAGGGATAGTCCACCCAAAAAATATTCTGTCATCATGTCGTTCCAAACCCAAAAGACCTTCCTTCATTTTTCAAACATAAATGAAGATATTTTTAATGAAACCTAAGAGATTTCTGTCCCTCCACTGAAAGTGGTGTTTCTTCCACGATTTTGGGTTTGGAACGACATGACAGTGAGCAAATAATAACAAAATAATCACATTTTTGGGTAAACCATCCTCACCAAGATGGGCATTCTGACTAAAAAGTGCATAAATCATGATACAAAAGTCTCAGACACAGTATATGATTCAAAAAACCATTTGTTTTATTTATACATTTTACTTTAGTGCGCACATTTTAAATTTCTAGACAAGTTTGCAAATATCGTAATAAAGCAGCGAGATGAACAAGGAGTTCTACAACATATGGAATGGCCCACGCTGACAGAAATTTGTTAACTGGGTTAAGTATAATTTCTGTAGTGCTGAAAGAAGACTTTTTGCACAGTACTGTACTTATGCCAGAAATATCCATTACTGAAGAAAATCCTCTTACCTCAGTGGAGCCAGTGAACGCTACTTTGTCCACATCCATGTGAGATGCGATGGCTGCCCCTGCTGTGGGACCCATTCCTGGGACAATGTTGACGACACCAGCAGGGAAACCCACCTACAACCAGTCAAGATGGTAATCAGGTGGGTAAGCAAAATGACAGTGATCTTGTGCATGTTAACAATGTGCACTTGATGGTGTTTCAACTGTGCACTCAGTATGGCTTCACTCAGTGCCGATCCTAGACTTATGGGGGCCCTACGCAAAACTGTGTCGGGTTGGAGGGGGTATGAGTGGTTATGAACGAATCAATGAAACGCATTTGTCCGTGTTTCACTCTCGAATTGCGCTCCCTGGAAAACCTGGAAACAAGTTCAGATTTGAGCAATTCTGGTTCTGAAATTCTGAGTCATTGAATGGCCTTAAAATCTGTGGTGAACACAAGCTCAAGATATTTTCATGTTTTATTCTACAACATAAAATACATCAGTAATACACCTCATTTAAAAAAGAAAAAAAAAAAGCTTTTACTTGATAAAAGATGGTGGCTAACAAGAATAATAAACATTTGTTGGTTGCAGAGCTTATTTTCTCCAATAATCCAAAAGCCAATGCAAAAATCCAGTCAGATTTTTGTCAAAGGAATCAGGGTGATGCCGGTCTGCAAAAATATATCATCACTGCAGCGATAAGAGTTCAAGTAAACGTGTTATTTTATTTTAAGTGCACATATACTGTAGGTAAGCCATTCACCTCTTTGATCAGACTGGCAACATAGAGCGCAGTGAGAGGTGTCTGTTCTGCCACCTTCATCACCACTGTGTTTCCTGTGGCCAGAGCAGGACCGAGTTTCCAGGCCTGCATCAACAGTGGGAAGTTCCACTGGAGGACGGTGTGAGGAAACAACGGCGACATGTGAAAGACAGAAAAAAATATTGTATTACTCAGCAAATACAGTACATATACAATTCGAAAATTCCACAGCATATACTTACAGGGATAATTTGGCCACACACTCCAATGGGCTCATGCCTGGTGTAGCAGAAGTAATCACCATCAATGGGAATGGTCTTCCCCTCCCATTTGTCTGCCCAGCCAGCATAATACCTACAGACCAACCAACACCCAACAGAAAAAAAACTGAGTTCTGACCTTATGATTAATTTCACTCCCTTTATCAGATTTAACTGCGCACCAATCATTATAAAGAACCTTCGGAACTACTAAAATCAGCAGAGGATCAGATCATATCAGATATTATAAAGCTTGTCAGTGGCAGATATGATACATATATGCCACTTCTGAAGCAAATGTCTGCTTTTTTTGTATTTGAAAAGAACGAAAACTCAAACATATAGATAAATATATAAGAGATTCATTATGTTATAAAAAAAGAAATATATGTAATGACAGAATTTTCATTTTTGGGTGAACTAACCCTTTAAGCAAGCAGTGAGTGAAAAAGTAAGAGAAAATGTGCTGAAAAGCTCAGATGTAAATTGTATAATTCATATAATTGGGGCCTTTTCGGATTCTGTCGTTGGTCTTTCATTTTGCTGAATCATACTGACAGCATTGTTTTATACATTTGATAAAACAGCTCAATGTCAATGAGGACAAAGGTTGTTTGAGTGACTCACAGCTAAATAGGCAGCGTCTCTCTCTATGCAGTCTGCTAATCGGCTCAAGAGAAGCCCGCGGTGGGACGCATCCATACGCCGCCAGGGAGACCCAAGCTTGAAGGCATCTTTGGCAGCTTTGACAGCTTTTTCCACATCCGCCTGCATGCAAAAAAACACGAGAGAAAAACATAGTCTGAAAATGTCATGCAAGACTCCATGTGGATGGCCATGGCTGATGTGAGAATGATTCAGGCCAGTTAATGCAACTTTGACCTATCAGGCCATATTTCTTCATTGGCAGCATTACTTGATATACACTGCACAAAATACAGATATCCTAATGAGTTCATTTCAGTGCCAGAGTCTTTATTAAGTTATGCTTATTACATTATATTTGTGAGGTAACGTTAGTTCAGTTAAGGCTGGCTATTTGGCATGTGTTAAATAAATATGCACGGCTATTTTTAATCCCAGCTCCTGGTTTATATCTGCCATGTTGGCGTAGGAAAGTCAAGCAGATGCATGTTTATCAGTGAGAGCAGGGAGGAGTACGGTGGCCGAGAAGTGCAAAGCAAATCACAATTCTGAAAACAAAATAACAAATTACAAACGCAAATGCAAGTCTAAAAAACAAAATAACAATTCAGAAAGCACAACAACAATTCAGAAAACATTATAACAAGTCAGAAAACACAACGACAAATCCAAAAAAACAAATTAACAAGTCAGAAAACAACGACAAATCAGACAAACCGGAAAAGGCAGGTATAGTTTGAGACAGCGCCATTGGTTTGGGATTACTCACCGCTGACTGGACGATACATCTGTCAATCAACGTATACAGGGAAGAACCAGCCGAAGAACAGCAGAGTCGTGGTAGAAAGTTCGGAGATGGTATTAAAGTAGCTCAGTTTAAATGTATTGTATGAATTGCCCTTACTCTGGAATAAAAAATACGGGGTGTCTATTTACATTTAGTTAAAAGTGGCTGTAAATCATCAGCTCCAGTGGCGCAGATGGATTAAGTGCGTGCCCTAGGCTTTTTGACGTGATCGACCGGGGTTCGATCCCACCTTTTGATTTTGTTTTCAGAATTGTGATTTGCTTTGCACTTCTCGGCCACCGTAGAGGAGGTTTGTTAAACAAACACAGGTGAGGAGTCAAATAAAAGTAAAGTTATTTTGAAAGAGTGGAGTGAAACTTAAATTTAGGTCTATTCCTCATACAAAGCTATCATGTTGCTTCAAAAGACTTGGCCCTTTTCAATTTATTGTATTAGAGAAAAAATATCTTGATGCTCAGCTGGTTTAACCAGATAGTCAGCCAGTCTCTCAACCTGACCAGCTGAAAAGTGCCCAAAACCCAAAGAGTTTACCAGCTGAGACCAGCAAACCAAAGCCCAAACAAAGACGTTTGGACACGGAGGTGAAACAAAACAGCGGACGAGAAGCACAGCGTCGCGTCGCGCGCAACTAAATATCTCCCTTTGGAGTGGACTTTGAGATTTGTAACTTTCTAGATCTTTTTTATGCCCAAACATACACACTACACACTGACTAAAATTAAAAAAGTGAAAAAGCATAATAGGACCCCTTTAAGACATTTTTATTTGGCACAGATGTACTTGGATTTTGAATTTAAAATACAAAATTCAAAAACCTACCTTATTGCCCTCTGCGACGTGGCAGATAACCTCACCAGTAGCAGGATTGATGGTTGGAAAAGTTTTCTTGCTTACTGCATCGTGCCATTCATTGCTGATGAAAATCTGAAGAAAAAAAGAGACACATTGACATGCTCTGGCATTTGAAAATGTTGAAGTCAAAGTCAACTTTTACTGGTATTTTTTTCGCATTGCAGATCAATGGACAAAAACATAAGAGAGCAAGTATTTACATGCCACTGGCAATAAATTATGACAGCTAAAACTAGGGCTGCATGTTATGCAGGAAAAATACAAGGTAACACTTTATTTTGATAGTCCACTTTAGACATTCTACTAACAGTAAGTAACTTTGCAACTATGTCAACTAGCAGTCATTAGAGTATTAGTAGACTGTCTGCTTAATATCTTCTAACAGTATTTTGATGGGTCCACAACATACAACATACTAACTATAAGAAATTTTCAAGTATATGTCAACTTATTCTACTAACCCTAAACCTAACCTAACAGTCTACTCTGAGAGTTAGTAGACATGTAGTTGCAAATTAATGAGAATTAGTTGACATGTAGTTGCAAAATTACTTATAACAAATATGAACTTAGGGCTGTAGGAATTGGTCACATTACAAATGGAAATTATAATTGAGCTAATCTCCTGTCATTCATTTATCTGAAAATCAAACTGAATTTCTGGCTGCAGGAAACACCTTAAAGAGCTGAGTGTTGTTAGTTGAGAGGGCTTATCTAGATTGGTCTATATACTATATGCTGCACAGGTGTTGATGTAGCACCTACACTCAAGATAACAGATTACAACACCAAACTGTTTACATTTATCTGGAAGCACAAACCACATTATATGATAAGAGATAATCTGTCATGCAAAGATCTGAGGAGAACTCAATGTTTTAGATTTTAAGACTTATAATATTATTTATGAAAACAGCTTTAAAAGGTAATTATACAGGTTAATTAAAAGAATAGCAATGGACGATGTTTTACATTATAGTGTAATCTTATTTGATTATAATTTCTTAGTCAGTATGTAATCATATTGAGTGCTATTAAATATTCTCTCTCTATATATATTATAAGCAAAAAAAAAAAAAAAGATCTCACCTCACAAGTTTCATAAAAAGATTGCCTACTAGTAGGCCAATGTCCAGTTATGACACTTGTGGTACTGCGTTTTAAAATGTGTAAAATTAAGAACATTTGTAAAATTTACAAATTTCTCATTATTATATACATACTGTTAAATAGACCAACATTTTTTTGAACATTTTAAAACAATATGTATATGTAATAAAAAAATCTATGATTTTTCATATATCACTCACATGCTTATTTTGTAACACACACATACATACATACAGTTGTTATGTCAGTGTGTGAGAGAGAGAGAGAGAGAGAGAGAGAGAGAGCGCAGCCTAGAATTATGAAAAAGATGAGATAAAACAGGAATGGAATTTTCTCGATGGAGGCGGGGTTTGAAAACATGCCAAGTTCATTAACCTTCTGCAAAATGTATTTTACATTAAATGCAATCGCCATAACTCTACGGCAGAGCAATTAGAGGATCATAAAGATATCATGTTACTTTAGCGTAATGATAAGTCTGCAAACATTTAATAAAAATGTAGTTATAATATGAGCAACATACATGCATGTCATTTTCTACCTGTTTGAATAAACGTGAAGTCTCAGAATTTGGTCGTTACCTTGTTATAGTGAACGTCTGGGTGAACGTTCGGTGCAGGAATCGTTGAATGCTGACATGCTGAAATACGGAAAACTTGAGGAAAAGTTCTGGAGAAAACAGTGCGCAGCATTTTTACTCACTTGCCTTCAACACTGAGACTGTTGATGAACTCGGACTTCAGAGCAGAATGCGTTCGCTTGTTGCCAGATATTTGCGAGGAAACGAATGTCATAACATCCGCGTGTTTACGTGAGACCAGTGTTCGAACTATACCGTGGTCTTTGGGGGAGCCCACTTGTTGTTTTTTTTATATAAGGGGGAACTGTCAAGGAACGAAAATGTCGAAAACTTGTGGCCCTGGCAACAAACAAACGCTGAGAATGCGTGCGTAAAAGTCGTGATTAATCCAAAATCATTTTCGCGAAACGTAACTAATAAAATAATAAAATATAAACATTTGAAAGTATTTAAATACTGTTAAATTATATAGGAAAATACTGAAATAAAATGTACGTATGCTGGTTTTTATTTTGAAAGACGAATCATGTGACATCCTGAGGCCGTGACAGTCATATGATCGTGGCTTAGGAAATATGGCGTCACATTTGTTTTGCGGCAGAGTAAACCTAAATATTTTGCGAGAAGCTGCACGAAAAGACCTGCGCGAATTTTTAGACAAATGTTCGGGAAGCAAGGTAAAGCTCTTTGCTTTTATACTAACTAATGCAGATTAGTCTCTAACACTGTCCCTCTTCTGTCACTTTCTCATATTTGCTCAAAACATACCGCCTAACAATGTGAACTGTACTTTATGTTGTGGTTACAAATGATTATTAATACAAATATTGTTCAGTGATTCTGTCGGTCGACATGGAACGTTTAGAGCTTTATTATCCTTTAATTTATGTGTTTTCGCAATTTTTTTAAGGCCATTGTTTGGGACGAGTATCTTACAGGACCTTTCGGCTTAATTGCTCAGTATTCCCTTTTGAAGGTGAGAGAAATTGTACCAAAAATACACATTTAGTGGACAAAATATAATTTCATATTTCAAAGACACCGGAGACTGCTTTAATGATTATTTTATGCTTTTTCAAGAAGGTGATTGTCTTAATTTTATTTTTAAAAAGGAACATGAAGTCGAGAAAATGTTCACCCTCAAAGGTGGTCGTATACCATCCGCTGCTGTCAAGAATATTGTCTTTTTTGTTCGACCAAGGTTGGAATTGATGGACATCATTGCAGAAAATGTTGCAAGGTAAGTCAACAAAACAGCATATGAGATTTATCAAATCTGATCTCTTTTGGCAGGACTATCCAGCACTACACTGAACAGTCAAACAATGGCCTGAGACAAGTATAAGCTTTTAATAAAATCTGAACAAACACAATGGTTCCATCACCTTTTGTTCTGTATACAGAAACTTCCAGTCAGGTGTGTTGAAGCAAGTTGGAGCTAAACTCTGCAGGACACCGGCCCTCCAGGACCGAGTTTGGACAGCCCTGCTGTAAGCTGTTTATAGAACATGCTGATTTTTAATTTTGAGACAAGGTTTGCTTCCACAATGACAGGTATTTTGATTAAAGAAAATAAAAAGGTAGTTTTAATAATGTGCATTGATTGCTGGCAGTAGTCAGTGGCAGTAATGCTGTGTTGCTGGTGATATTACATTTTAATATTTGCATTGCAGTGAGGATAAATTACAACCACGAGAATTCCACATCCTGTTTGTGCCTCGCCGGAGTCTCCTGTGTGAGCAGCGGCTGAAAGAGAAAGGGGTTCTGAACTCGTTCACAAACATCGATGAATACATTCTGGACCTTATACCTTATGATGGAGATCTTCTTTCCATGGAGTCTGAGAGTTCCTTTAGAGTAAGACAGTCTTTGAATGTCAAGTTTATTATGGATTTGTGTTCATCTTCTGAAGGATTTCTGATTCAGCATTAGTCAGACCTTGACTTGAAATATTCATGGATGCAAAATACCATTATGATGGAGATCTTCTTTCCATGGAGTCTGAGAGTTCCTTTAGAGTAAGACAGTCTTTGAATATCAAGTTTATTATGGATTTGTGTTCATCTTCTGAAGGATTTCTCAGCATTAGTCAGACCTTGACTTGAAATATTCATGGATGCAAAATACCATTATTATTATTATTATTATTATTAAGGTTTTAGGGGACATAGAGGATAGTTCTAAATGCATACAAGTGCTGTGCATATTTAGCTTAATAGAGTAAAGCCTGACACATGAAATAATAGTCCACAAAAGTCTTTTCTTATGGAACAGTTTATTTATTCTCAGGCCTGAGCACAGTTATGCAATTTAGTGCAGATGCTGATATTTATATCGGTAAAAAGTAAGATGAAATGCTGATAGCTTGTAATTTAAATCAGCGACATTGTTATAACAAACAGACTACTTACATAAAATCATGTTATCACTATCAGTTGTCACTGTGTATCCTAATAATGTGTCTTATAAAGTTTGATGATCAAAGCTCTGTAATTTCAAAACATTTAATGCAATGCAACACAATGATACTTGAGAGTAGACCAAATAAACCTTCCACAAAAGCCTTATATTTGATACTCACATTTTAACATGATTTTTCTAAAAAATGATGTATGGATAATCAAGTAAGTTGCTTCATTAAGTGTACATCTTGAAATATTAATAATATAAAAGTTGTGTGTTATGTTTACTTTATAAAAATCAATAAAGATTTCACAGCAAAAAGACGTGAACATGAATGAGCTGAAGAGGGATGTTTTTACAGTTGTACCATTTAAGACCCTTTACTTGCTAAAGTTTTTAAAATGATCAGTCAGATGACAGAAGGCATGTAGCAGATTGTATTCAACATGTTTTTCAGTGAAATTTTGATCTTGTTGATAGCTTAGAGGTCTTATTAATGCGCGTATCAAATATGATACTGCAGACTTTATTTTTATTGAAGTTAAGCTGTGAAAAAATCTGTGATTTCATAACATCAAACATTTGCCAAACTTTGTGCTGACATATGCGTGAGCAGATTGTGATGATCACATAACTGTTTTCTATTATGAAGGAATGTTATTTAGAGAATGATCAGACAAGCCTGTATCACGCTGCCAAGGGCCTCATGACTTTGCAAGCACTTTATGGAACAATACCGCAGATCTTTGGCAAAGGCGAGTGTGCAAGGGTGAGTAGCAGCATTTGTGTCAACTTTGCCTATTCTTTTCAAACATTTGTGCCTAATTGTGCCTATTCTTTTCAAACATTTGATGCCATCTAGCATCTAGTTCTTCCTCAGTGGTACTTATTTGTTGTAGTTTTGTTTTACATTGCACTGATTTATTTCTTTTTATTTCTCTCTTTTTTAAAAAAAATGTGTTGCATGGTGGTATTGGGCTGTGTCTTTCTCAGCATGTGGCCAACATGATGTTGCGGATGAAGAGAGAGTTTGCGGGGAGTCATACTCAAATCCTGCCTGTTTTTGATACCCTCCTCCTGTTGGATCGCAATGTGGATTTGCTTACGCCGTTAGCCACCCAACTTACCTATGAGGGTCTTATCGATGAGATCTTTGGCATCACCAATGGTAAATGAGTTTTAAATTTGTGCAGACATAAAAGAAATACTTTAGAAATATAGAACTTTAAAGCTATAAAGATCGTATAATGAGATCGATCTCATTTTTCCCAATAGAAGTACCGAATTTTAACACTATAAAGATTGTTTAAGCTCTCGTTTTCCCCAGTAGTCTGTCCTGTCATAACTTTTTTGCTTGGACAGGTTATGTGAAGCTTCCACCTGAGAAGTTTGCACAGAAGAAACAGGGAGAAGGTGGGAAAGATCTCCCCACTGAGCCGAAAAAACTGCAGCTCAATTCAGCCGAGGAGCTTTATGCTGAAATACGGGACAAGAACTTCAATGCTGTGGGAGTGGCCCTCAGCAAGAAAGCCAAGATTATATCAGCTGCGTTTGAGGTTTGTGCTGCTTTTGTGAGCCTGCTGGCTGAGACGAACCAAGAACTACTGATTTTAAATACATTTAGAAAGAAAATAAGCCTCCCACTTCCCTTGTCCACGATTTTAGTGAACCGTTTGCATTTATTTGATCAAGAACACAGTGAAACTGTTATACTGTGTAATATTACAATTCAAAAGAACTGTTTTATTTTTGAATATAATTATTCCTTTGATCAAAGCTGAATTTTCAGTGTCATTACAGCATCTTCAGTGTCACTTGATCCTTCAGAAATCATTCTAATATGCTGATTTGCTAGTGTTTACCATTAATGATCTGGTTTTCTTGTCTCTGTGCTAGGAGCGACACAATGCAAAAACTGTTGGAGAGATTAAACAGTTTGTTTCCCAGTTGCCTCACATGCAGGCAGCTCGAGGTTCCCTGGCTAATCACACCTCTATTGCTGAACTCATTAAGGACATAACAAGTAAGTCTGAGACCAATCATTTGTACATTCAGAACGGAAGTATTTCTGGTTCTTTTCTGCTTAAGGTCGGTGGAACGCTGTCAATTACAACAGACAACAATTGTAGCTCATCCCTCAGTTTGCACACAAAAATGAAGGAATTTATTTTATTTTAAACTAGTTTATAGTTATAGTTTACAGAAAAGAGAATTCTGACTAGTAATATAGAGTGACCAACTAATAACATACTAAGAATAGCTTTTATATTTTATAATTTATACCTCCGGTTTCACAGACCAGGCTTAAGCCTAATGCCAGACTAAAATGTAAGTCTGGGCTGTTTCAAATGAAAGAAACTTGCTCTGACTGACCTTAAAATATATCAGTGCCTTTATTTTGTCTCAAGATACACACCAGTAATGTTTTTTTTCTAAGGCACGTTTATAAAAATTATTTAAATGTCCAAATTGGACTATGGCCTAATCCTGGTTTAGTCTAAGCCCTGTCTGTGAAACCAGGCCATAATTATAATTTATAATTTAATTTGAACAATAGATATTTATAAACATGGCCTGGTTAGAAATTATGTTGCTTAGAAAGGCTTTGTTGTTTTTCTTACTCTCTTTTCATGCTGTAAACTTAGAGGATTAGCCAGGATTAAGTTATTCAGTTAAGTGCAATTGCTAATTCTACTAATGATGTTTATTTTTAGAATTTCTGCAACAAGTCGTAAAAATCGTTCTTTTGCTGATATCAAGAATAAGCATTTAGTAAAACATAATTTTGCATTTATATCCTGTGATATCCTGAATGATAAATTATATGATAATATTGAGACCTGACATGAATTCACATTTTGTTTTTTACTTTATTTTTTTTTTCTCAAACTGCCTTGCTTTCCTGTGTTTCAGCCTCAGAAGACTTCTTTGACAGTCTGACTGTTGAACAAGAGTTTATGACTGGAGTAGACACAGACAAGGTGCCTTGTTTTGTTTATGATTCCAATGTGAATGAAGTATAATTTAAGAAATTATTTTATGATTTATACAACTTTAAAAGAAATGCCCGGTTCTTTTGTTGTGTCAAAGGAATAGTTCACCCAAAAATGAAAATTAGCTGAAAATGTGCTCACTCTCAGTCCATGCAAGATGTAGATATGCTTGTATCTTCATCAGAGCAGATTAGGAGAAATTTAGCAGTACGTCACTTGCTCACTGATGGATCCTCTGCAGTGAATGGATCTATTGAACTAAATTTACTGCAAGAGGGTGTACTTACTTACTTTTTCCAAAGTATTACATGTGGAAATGCAATGGACCACAACTATTGTTCAAACAGAAAATAATGAAGTTTAGTATACAAGTCCACTTACATCCTCTAATATTTTAAAAATATAAGAAAAATACATTTTTTACATGGTACATTTAAATTCTCTGGGAATAGTTTGATTAATTTCTTTGTTCAGTGTGTTTTTTATTGTGATTTTACTCTCAGGCCAGCACATATATAGAAGACTGCATAGCACAAAAAGACCCTCTGATAAAAATCCTGCGACTGGTGTGCATGCAGTCTGTCTGCAACAACGGCCTCAAACAGAAAGTCCTGGACTACTATAAGAAGGAGATCCTTCAGGTTGGATAGAGGAAATTTCTTTGTGGTTTGCTTTTATTTCCTTTTAGATGGATTTTGTGAATCCATAACAGTGAATGTGAATCACATTTGCCTTGATAACAATCACATTGCAATATTGATGTCTAGGGCTGTCAAAATGGCTGAAAAACTAAATTCGAATTTTGTATTTAAATATTATCAAAATTCGAATGATATGACTATCTGTGAAGAAAGTGCATAATGTTTAAAATAATTTTTATAAACCAATTATAATTAATTAAGTTGCTTAAACAACTATAAACAAAACAGCATCATGTATGTATGCATAGTTTAATACAAAGGGCGGAAAGCCAATCACACAGAGTACATTTTTCATTTAAAAACATGAGATGCAGTGGGATGGGGAAAAAACAACGCAGCAGCGCCGCATCTAGTGGCTTCAACTGGATAGGCTAACAAAAACATTATAATGCAAGGACACTTACATCGTCATCGCATCTCGTGCACCACTGATAAGGCTGCCTCCTTAACGCACACCTAAAATTCGAATGCAACGTTTTTGCATTCGAATGTAGATTTTTATTTTAAATTCGACGAATATTCGAAATTCTATTTATTTTTTTTTGACAGCCCTAGTGATGTCACTGAACTTCTATCAGTGTTGTACAACAGTCAGTCACTGTTTGTGGTGATGCTAGCAGTGAGTTATAAATGCCATAAACATCTACCATGTTTGTGTTTTGTTGGATTAGACATACGGTTACAAGCACATTCTGACCCTCAAGAACTTGGAAAAGGTTGGGTTACTCAAACCTCAAAGCACCATGAGAAACAACTACCCCACAATCAGGAAAACGCTCAAACTGTGGATGGAGGATGCCAACGAACAGGTTTGGCCTGTTGTTTATTTTTAGTAAGATTCTCTGTTTTTATATAACTGAAAATAGCCGGCACTGGTCAAATGGTCACCACCCAAATTCACACCAGTGCTTTGAACTAATGGACGCTTTTCACATTACCTTGGATCTCAGAAGTTGTCATAGTTGGGTAAACTTTTAAGAGTGGAAAACATAATTTTTGTGTTTCTATTTGCTCCAATAGCAAAAGAGAAAACTCACATTAGTGTTTCTATGACTTTCCAAAAGAAAGTGAGAAAAAAATAGAGAGATTGATTACAGTGAAAAGAGAGAAAGATATGCTATCACACTGTCAGCCGTTGTGTTAGAAAAACTTACATTAATAATAAAACTAGATCAACAAAATGATAAACAAAACTAGATTTATGGTGTTAATAACTGGAAATGCATCCTCTAAGTCAGTGAAAAGGGTCCATGTCCACTTCAAATCTATTAATACATATCGCTCTAGACTTACTGATATAAAAGTTTTATTTAAACATTATTTGGAGTACTACTTGTTCACAATGCACATTTCTTAATATTAAGCCTAAATGTGTTTTACTTTCATGAGAATTGTATGATCTTTGAATAATATCGGTCTTTAAATGCAAGATATTTATAGTGTACCTATAAGTGTACTTGCAATAGTTCCACTTTAGCACAATCAAATATACTTCAGTATATCTTTAGTTGGACTTCAGCACTACTTACGCACAATTAAAGTGCAATTAAGTACAAAATTAGTTCCAATTTAGCAGACTTTAAGTATACCAGTTTAGTATACTAAAAATACAGTTGCAAAGTATTTTTATTAAGTACATAAATGTATTTGTAGTATACTTAGCATAAAACAAATGGATTTCAAATATATTTTAGTATATTTATTTTTCACTAGGGTGAAGTTGACATCATACATTCGTTAAAGGGGTCCTATTATGCTTTTTCAACTTTAGTTAGTCTGTAATGTTGCTGTTTGAGCATAAAAAAGATCTGCAAATTTACAAAGTTCAAAGTCCACTTCAAAAGGAGATATTTTATTTAACAGAAATCACTTTTCAAAAACTACAACGAACGACTCGTTTGGACTACAACGCATATTTCCCGGGATTTGTGATATCATAAATATCGACGAATGGGACGAGACCTGGTTGAGCTGCACTAGAGAAGGCAACGAGTGTTATCACTATGTCGGAGACACTATATCGTTTTGCCGATATGAGCCTGTCGCGATATATCGGTATCGGCGAATATGCCGCCGATAAGAAATTTTTTTTAG